AGACTCGAAACTGGTACTTCGGCGTGACGAGCGAACACTCCAACCACGGGGCTACCTCACCACCCCACTTCACACTTAAGGTCAAAACAGAAGCGTAAATGGTTTGATGTGCGAACTAGACGTGGAACTTGATTTGTAAAACCCAAATATTTGAAAAACACAGCAACTTGTGATATCTCAAATAGGAATCTTTCATGGATAATGATTGTAACGTATAGAGAGCGGTAAGGTTTGGCGTAAGTTCTCCAGAGGGACAAAGATACCGTTGCAATTAGCTTCAGTAATTCTTATTGGACATTGTAACCATTGCCTCACGTGGAACGGTTTCCAAATAGGTCAATGTTACGTCAGTCATATAAACGGATTGTCGTAAATGATTATCGATGACGTCACTCATTGTTCGTGGCCTCACAATCCGTTTTAAGCAGCATTGTTACGGTAAAACTGGATCACATGAGCTCATGTCTTCAACGGTGCTCCAGAACCAATCCTCTCTTCGATATGTCAGAAAAAGGCCATGTCTTATATCACAACTAGTAACTGGGAATTGCGGATTATCTCCCCTTCCTGAATAATGAAGAAAGTTGCCAAGGTCGTGAAATTAATTCAGTCAGGGTACAAAATTATTTCCCTAAGCTCGTGAGTGTTTTTTTACAGATTAACGCCAGTGTTTAATTAAGCCTGTATCATAGGCATCAGACAAGTGAGTATTTAATACTATTTTCACAACACATGACCAGCTTACAATGCACAAATCCCACTTTCTTGTCTATTCACAATGTTCAATGTTTTCACAGTCAAATGATCGTCATGGGGGAAAGCTCTATCACCCAATGACTCACTCACGAATCACTTTCTCAATAGGGGCGGTGGGGTAGCCCAGCGGTTAAGGCGTTCGTTCGTCGCGCCGAAGACTCGGGTTCGATTCCCCACATGAGTACAATGTGTGTAGCCCATTTCTGGTGTTCCCCGCCGTAATATTGCTGGAATATTGCTGAAGGCGGCGCAAAACTAAACTCACTCACTCACTTTCTCAATAGCTCACCACCTAACCAACCTACTTACTAACCCACTCATTTTACAATCACACGTAACACTTATAGGTGAGGTGAAATTGGGTTTTAACGTCGTGCTTGAGAATATTTCGCTCATATGACGACGTGCATGCGTGTGTATGTGTATGTGCGGCTGCTTGTACTAGCCCAGACTGAAGCTGGTTTTATAGTGCTAGCCCACTGAGATACCATGCCGCAGTGAAGCATGAATACCCCACTCAGACACATTATACTGACTCCGAGCCGACCAGTCCTTGTTGTACCCATTAATGCCGAGCGCCAGGCAGGGACCAACAAGTACCATATTTTAACGTCTTTTGGTATGACGCGGTCGGGGATCGAACCCTCGACCTTCCGCTCTCCGGGTCGGCGCTCTAACCACTACACCACGGAGGCGGTCCTCACTTGTGACAGTCGTTCTACCGCTTTTGAAAACATTGAAGATATTCGGCTCTTCAAATTGACTGGTTATCTCGACGTAAATTTAAACAACAATTCCTGCGTGTCTCAGACTCAAGAGTAAATGTCACGTGACTGGACAAGACAATGTCAGTGTAAGCTATATGATCTATGTAACCTTATCGCACTAATCTCAGGCAGACGTCATGACGTCCCGGTGGAAGCCTCAAATCAGCTTAAGCAGTTCTATTTACACGAGTGACACATTGATTTCATTAACTGTCGGGCTAAAAAAAACCTTTACACTTGAAAATTGGATCTTACCGAACAATCACAAACTTTATCAAACCGTCACTCGGCTGAAAACATTCCACGAAACAACGTTGGAAACGTTGGTCCAAAACATACAGACCTATATAAAACCACATCACCATCTTTGGTCTTTCGTTTATAACCTCGATCAGACATTGGTGCATATTTCCCTTTTGCCTGTTGGTCCGTCATCAGGTTTTGCACGTTCTTACGCCTTCGTGACTGTTTGGCAAAGACGATAACGTCCAATAAAAAAGTGAAAGTGACATTCTCAACTTGCACTGATAAATCATTATAGAAATAGACGGATTACGAAACAATAGATCATGTCAAAGTCAGACCTAACTGGTTGCAGCTGAGTTGAGGTTAACTGACATTAGAGACGTTTTACACACGCCAAAAAGTAATATCCTCTGAAGATGCACGGGGAACAAACTGTTCCATTTCCTCCACTTGTGATGTTTGAGGTTACTTCCAGTGTTTGTTTATCACCCCGTGGTTCTTTCTTTCAAGGTTATTCTGGTTACAAGTACAAATATAGATGTGCTTGAAATATATACGGGCTATGTCTTTCAAAGGTCTCTGAAGAAAATGGATATATTTCAGTACCTGAGGCTAAAACATGAAATGAGGCAAGCAAAGACTCAAAGACAGAATTAATCTCAGAGTAAATAAACAGTCCTAACAGACTCCCTTCTACAGATATATTTATAACTCATTTTAATAACCGAATGCATTAGATGATGGATTTGAAAAATATATTTGAAAATTGTAAATACATTGTGGTTTTTACACATTTGTAATATGATGGAGACACACGTGCAGTCGTTGGTTTGCTAGGATATTATTATAAGGATCGAAAAACAATATTCATTCACGACCTCATGGTTTACTTGTTTTAAAACAGGGGTTGCTGGTTAGCCTGATAGTTAGATAGTCCGCTCGTCTCTAAATGGACAGACAACGTGGTCGGCATCAAACACGTTCATTGTGTTTCTGCCACTCCCGTACACATGTAATAGAACCCCCGAATCTCCCCTCGTGAAACAGTGACGGGGTAGCCTAGTGGTTAAAGCGTCCCCTCGTCCCGCCGAAGACCCAGGTTTGATTCCCCGCGTGAGTACAGTGTGTGAACTCATTCCTGATGTCCCCCGTCGTGAACTGATGGAATACTCTCTAAAAGCGGTATAAAGCATACTCACTCCTCTCTCTCTCTCTAAACGCATGGGAGATTCGTGGATTCGTGAAGTTTAACACGCGGGCCTAATTAATTACTGATTATAATTACTCAACGGGAATTGAGATAGCGGTTATGTAATGGAGAAATAAGATTATCGATAATAATGCCGACTTGCAATTATTGTATGTGGTGTGTGTGCGTGTGTGCGTGTGTGCGTGTGTGTGCGCATTCATTTATTTACGGTTAAATACGGTACTGAGATTGATGATCTTTCCTTCGTATACATGTACTTACCTCCTACCTGGAAATCCACGTCCAGAGGCATAAATCTGGATGCCTAATTACTCTTAACATGAATAACGTCAACTTACATTCGTTCGTTCATCACTCATTTATTCATTTATTTAATCTTGGTTAAATACGGTAATGAGATTGACGGCCAGTAGTCTGTTTTCCTTCTTTGTATTTCCCTGGTACCTGGAAATCCACGTCCTGTAGCAGAGCACCGTGTCTATCATACTGCTTCCTGGAGCGCCATGGGGTTTTCCTCCTAAATACCACACGTGGCGCCCACGGGCCGTAACGGAAGCTTCCGGTTCTACTTCCGGTAGCAACAGATTTGCGTGATTTCTCCGATTTAACCATGTAACGGTTTATAATTTCTCCTTAATTTGAAAACAGTTAGTTTTGTCAGTTTTACGTCTTCAGAATTTATTCATAATGGCCTTTAATTAAACTCCAGGCACAGCAACAGCAACAATAGTGAGATGTCGCCATAATTGTTTGAACTATCTCACATTAGCTATTTTATGTCATTTTATGACCAATTTGTATCTCTACTGCACTGCACGAGGAAGTTGTAGCAGGAAGTCTGTTTACAATGTTCTTTCAGAATTTTACTTCCCGTAACACAAGTAATATTGACAAAAATATCAACATTCACATGTAGGCAAGACTATCTCTTCCCTTGAGAAACATAATGACACGGCGACGGGGATATGGAACTCGCCGCGTGATCTGCAGGTGCTCTGTTATAACTGTTCTGGGTGTGTTAGATGTTGAAGTTTTAAGAGAGTCTTCTACTTAAAACCCGCGTTAACATCCGAGATTTCATGCGTCATATGTATGTATTCAGTTTTATGAGAGTAAAAGTTGATGTAATGGAGTTTACATTTTTAGTGGTTCGCCCTCGTGTTACGTCACGAACAGCTGGCGAAACCAATAAAATGACGTCATTGGTAAGATATATGTGGCTGGAATCAATCAACGAAACATATGTGTCATATTTAAGCTGAGCTTTACGTAAACAAACGCTAATGTAACGAATGAGGCCAAGCCTTCAATGTAATCATAAATCCACACAACCTACCTGTGACTTATGATAACGCACCGTGACGCAGTTTGTCAGTTTAACTCAAGACATAAAATGTGAATACTCCTGTTGAACATATGAAGATGAATTTATGGATTTTTTAATACGTCGGGAGGTAATTCAAAACAGCTTTGGCCTCGGGATATGTTTTTGTGGCAATAAATTCAATGCAATTTGATATATCTGAAAAACTGTGGTCATGACAAATTCATTATTCATATTGTTCCGTACTGCCTTATATGTACTACAGGGGCGGATACAGCTTTTTGAGAAAAGGGGGTTGGGGTTGCAATGTTCATTGGTCATTTAATAAACTTTCATCAGAAAAGGGGCGGTGCGCACCCGTGCTACCCACCTCTGGATCCGCCCATGAACTACGAGCGGGTTTTGTTAATAATATTCCAATTAAAATCTGTTACGAGCACGTTTAGTGCAGATCTGATCATACCGGAAATGATAATTAATCTCCGATGAAGGTAATTATATTCCTTGGCTCTACCTGTGTGTTTCATCTATGACTAGTCCTCGATTAAAACCCGTTTATTAATTCAAATCCACCCTTCCAACGTGTGTGCACTTAGAGGTGTAAACTGTGTATACCTGTTTGCTAGGTTGATATACACATGCCGTCGCTGGTTGTTTTCTCTGCATCAGTTCCGGCCGTTGAACATATTCGCTTGACTGCCTCCTGGAACGTGGTATGGCCAAAAGAAATATTGTGGAACTACTGACCTAAATACACATCGTGCTGCTGCAGTGGAGTGAGTGAGTGAGTGAGTGAGTTTAGTTTTACGCCACACTCAGCAATGTTCCAGCTATACGGCGGCGGTCTGTAAATAATCGAGTCTGGCCCAGACAATCCAGTGATCAACAGCATGAGCATCGATCTACGCAACTGGGATACGATGACATGTGTCAACCAAGTCAGAGAGCCTGACCACCCGATCCCGTTAGTTGCCTCTTTCTATAAGCATGGGTTGTTGAAGTCAACGCCAATTCTAACCCGGACCTTCACGGATCTGCTGCGGTGCAGAGACACGTGAATTCGTGTTTAGTCATTAGACACCTGTGTGTTAAATTTCACGAAATGCAGTTTCATCTTACCTAGAGAAATGAGTGAGTATGGTTTTACGCCGCATTCAGCAATATTCCAGTAATATCACAACGTGGGACACCAGAAATGGGCTTCACACATTGTATCCATATGGGGAATCAAAACCGGATCTTCGACGTGACGAGCAAACGTTTTAACCACTAGGTTACCCCCAAACACGATTTGGAAAAGATTCCCAGCGACCGATGCTGCCGTTGTAGGTATTTCACCGGTTCCCCACTATAACGGCGTACCGAAACAAACCAGTCAAGGAAAGAAAATTTCCCTTCAGCCTGGAAGTGGATTTTGTCCAAACAAAATATCTACAGTCTTCTCACATCATAAGTTTGAAAAATAGCAAGCAGACAATTCTAGTTTTTAGGATTCAGAGGCCTATTAGCTTCTGGTCATCCTTGGACTGAAACTGATTGACCTGTCACGTGGTTGACGGTCATCTTGGATGACATAGTGGGCGTTTGTTCATACAATCAGCCATCATGATCGTTGCTCTAATTCAGAGGCGGTTGGGTGGCCCAGTGGTTAAAGTGTTGGCTCGTCACACCGAAGACCTGGGTTCGATTCCCCACATGGGTAGAATATTTAAAGCCCATTTCTGGTGTCCCCCGCCGTGATATTGCTGGAATATTGCTAAAAGCGGCGTAAAACTGAACTCACTCACTCTAGTCCAGACTTGGTTATTTATAAGTCGCCGTCACACATCTGGGTTGGGAACAACGGGCAAGCAATGTCTCGCTCACCCTGTCTGGCTATAAACTAAATTGTACAAATGAAAGTAAGATTATTTTGACAGTACCTGGTTCAGCCGAGGCGTGATATCAGCTCAGTAATGGAGCAATTAAGTAACGAGTAAGGTCTATTTAATGGAATGTGAAACACGCCCGGCCAGCTGTGAACGGAGAAGCCCGCAGCTAGCTGTTGGAGTACGCTTGAGTGGAAATTCATCAAAAAGCTTCGCAAGTCATCCCTCGAGAGGTCGACGATTATTTCTCAAGGTCTCTGTGAGAGTATACAAACAGCTAGGTTACTTCAAGGCTCACGTCAAGCAGGTTGTGGCTGGTGGAATTGCAAGCTATGTACATATCTGGGGTCGCAGATGGGGTGAGGGGGTTGATGGAGGGGTCTGGCATGATGAGATGAGGGGGTTGATGAAAGGGGGTCGCAGATGGGGTGAGGGGTTGATGGAAGGGGTCGCAGATGGGGTGAGGGGGATGATGGAGGGGGTCTGACATGATGGGGTGAGGGGGTTGATGGAAGGGGTCGCAGATGGGGTGAGGGGGTTGATGGAAGGGGTCTGGCATGATGGGAAGTCCCGACATCGATAGGGAACGCATTCTGAACATTTAACAACATTCATAAAAATACTCAAGCATCTCTCGGCAAGTTCAGAAAATTGTTTGAAAGGACAAAGGTGTGATGAAGCAAACCGACGCATCACTTAGAGACCGGTCTAAATTTATGTCTCGGAAGAGTGATGATGATTTTTGTGGAGAAGCATGTACAATGTGAATGACACTCACCTTTATAAATTTATGCACAAAGGAAGTCCCCCGACCCACCCCGTGCATGTCATCTACAAAATCAATTACCCCCACCCACCCTCACTACACGTGTACATTATTGATGACCCACTACCTGCTCAGAACAAAATGAGTGAAACCCACCCCACTCCCCTAAAATCATCGTCACTGACCCCACCTAACCCACCCACCCTTGCAGGTAAGTCTGTGACAGAAGGCTGTTTGTGTAACGGTCTGTAGTCCCCCACGACACGTCCTCTGGTCTCCATACATACACTCCAGCACCTGTTAACGTCCAAGCAGGAATGTACACATCTATCACAGACGGCTGCTGGGAGCCATGTACATTCACGTAATGTGTCTGTGTCTGTGACCTCGATCGTGACGTTGTTGATGTCCAGGTCGAGTAAACAATGTCATAAACGTCATCCCAGATAACATCCCTGGTGTACCCTGCCTACATCGTGCACTGGAGATTAAAGGTACTGCTACACAGTGACAGAACCACATTCGGATATTGCGAACACATTGACAGAACGAAATCGGATGTGGCGAACACTAGGCCAAAACTAATGCGGATATTGCGAACACAGTGACAGAACGAAGTCGGACGTGGCGAACACTAAGCCAAAACTAATTCGGATATTGCGAACACAGTAACAGAACGAAATCGGATGTGGCGAAAACTAGGCCAAAACGAATTCGGAATATTGCGTACACTGAGATAAAATAAGTCGGATGTTGCGTACACAAATAACAGAACGGATTCGGATATAGTGTGCACCAGAACATTCTCTTCTCGGATACATCGCACACGAGGGTAGTACCTACTCGGATATGTAGCACACAGGGGCATTACCTACTCGGATATATAGCACACTAGGGTATTAACTACTCGGATATATCGCACAAAAGGGCAAAATCCTACTCGGATATATAGCACAATAGGGCATTACCTACTCAGATATATAGCACACTAGGGTATTACCTACTCGGATATGTAGCACACTGGGGCATTACCTACTCGGATATATAGCACAAAAGGGCATTACCTACTCGGATATATAGCACAATTGGGCATTACCTACTCAGATATATAGCACACTAGGGTAATACCTACTCGGATATGTAGCACACAGGGGCATTATCTACTCGGATATATAGCAAATAGGGTATTAACTACTGGGATATATCGCACAAAAGGGCATTACCTACTCGGATATATAGCACACTAGGGTATTACCTACTCAGATATATAGCACACTAGGGTATTACCTACTCGGATATGTAGCACACTGGGGCATTACCTACTCGGATATATAGCACACTAGGGCATTACCTACTCAGATATATAGCACACTAGGGTATTACCTACTCGGATATGTAGCACACTGGGGCATTACCTACTCGGATATATAGCACACTAGGGTATTAACTACTCGGATATATAGCACACTAGGGCATCACCTACTCGGATATATAGCACACTAGGGCATCACCTACTCAGATATATTGCACAAAAGGGCATTACCTACTCGGATATATAGCACAATAGGGCAGTATCTACTCGGATATATAGTACACAAGGGCATTATCTACTCGGATATATAGAACAATAGGGCATTACCTACTGGGCTATATAGTACAATAGGGTATTTCCTACTCGGATATATAGCACACTAGGGCATTATCTACTTGGATATATAGCACACTAGGGCATTATCTACTCGGATATATGGCACACTAGGGCATTATCTACTCGGATATATAGCACACTAGGGCATTATCTACTCGGATATATAGCACACTAGGGCATTATCTACTCGGATATACAGCACACTAGGGCATTATCTACTCGGATATATAGCACACTAGGGTATTTCCTACTCGGATATATAGAACACTAGGGCATTACCTACTTGGATAAATAACACTAGGGTATTAATCCTCGGTTATATAGCACACTAGGGTATTACCTACTCGGATATAGCGCACACTAGGTCATTACCTACTCGGATATATAAGCACACTAGGGTATTACCTACTTGGATATATCGCACACTGGGGCATTCTTAGACTAACGCTTAGTCCCTGAATATATAGAAGTTTGCTATAAAAGTAACAAACATACTCATTAAAATTGAAAAGGAGCCCCATTGAGTTGGGACATTCTGGGGAAATCTAGACTTGCTTCATTCAGGGCTTTAGCATTGCAGGCAGGGCTTGGCAGTAAATAAAATAATGCTGTTCAGGGACTGAGAGACAGACTGGGGCATTCTATTCGCTGGTATATCTGATATCTTGAAAGATGGATTGTAAATTGTCTCTCAATGTCAATGTCTCCAGGCGCCTGCTGTTGGATAGAAAGGGTGGCCCAGTGGTTTAAATGCTCACTCTTCACAGGTTCAGCCTTTCAACCGTTTTCTGTCGTCCATTCTCTATTGCTGCAATAGCGCTTAATGAGCCAGCACCATATCCCCCAGAACACAGCGGTGCCTCGGGCTACCTGTCGTCACAGAACGCATTAGATTGGGAAGAAACCCTATAAACAAATCGATAAAAATACATCAAAGAATATGAGAAAATAACTCATTCACTTAAGCAGAGTTTGAAATTCTGGGTTGGAACCGATCTTCACCAACCCATGCCTGTTTTTGGTATAGAGCCGACTATTGGGATCGGGAGGTTCACTGAAATGACTGAAGCATGTCATCGCATCCCATTAACGCAGATTGATGCTCATGAAACACTGGATTGTCTGGTCCAGATTCGATGATCTCCCGACCGCCCTTATTTAATTGAAATATTGCTGAGTGCCGTGTTAAACAACAAGCAAGCCAGCAAATGAAGGAATTGGCCCAATGTCAACAAATACGCTTGGGAACCTATATTGCTTTTATCTGAAGGGCATTATTTTAAGGCTTAACGACATGCGCCCTAATTAAGCTGAATACTTGCCAAAGTAATACCACTGTTGACTAGAAGTAAACTGAAGATTTTAACATTTTGTAATAGGATGTTCAAACGATCTCATAAAACGCTGTTTCAACACTCCTTCGTCA